GTCACCAGAATACATTACAATGAAAGAGATGTTAGCTGATCTTGTTGATCTTGTTGGCAGGAAATGCTCCAGTTATTTCTCAGTTAAATAATCATCTCTTTTCATCTAATCTCATTCCTAAAGCAGTACATCTTACTGTTGGAACCACTGGACTCTGTCCTTATGATAGAGCTAATAAAATATTCTCTTCAGTACTAGCATCACTTGAGTGTCATCCTAATCCTAACAGTGTGTTCTCTTCTCTCATTACATCACTACAGAAAGTAGGACTGAAGAACATGGTATCTAAACTAATGGAAAATTTAAGTAAGATATACAGTACCTTATCCCCCATTTAACTATTATTTAAATTTTTTATAACAGAAATGAAAGGTGGTAATGTTGATCCTAATCTAGAGCAGCAGCCATCAGTTAGTGAGGGACCACTTCAACCAGTGGATGTCACTGCACAATCTCACATACCACAACCAACAATCACTGGATCACAATCATCTACTCCTACTACTGTCATTGAGCTCAGTTCAAAGAGTGAAGTTGCTGCCAATATTGAAAGTCTTCATTCTTGTTTTGCATCTCTTGATTCTGATATAAGAGATGAGTTTGAGGAGCTGGTGGAAAAGGGTAAAGTGAATCTTAAAGCTGTAGCTAGGAGTGCAGCAGCTTATTTAAGCATTAAAGTATCCAGTTTGAAATATGGAGACGTTGATGAATTATTTGATTCTCTTCAGCCTCATTATGACTTCTTCAGTTGTGGCGGTGTACTTAAACACTTGGCAAACAAATACCTTTCAAATGTACAAACTGAACTAACTCAATACATTGATAGTGTTGATAAATTCTCAGAATCATCACAACTGAAGCACGTACGATTAGCAATCAAGGAGAAATTGTCATCATTACCAGCAGCAGCCTCACCAACCACTAGCAATCAAACAAAGCCATTCATCATTAAACTGAATGGTAGATGGGAAATAATGACTTTAAAAAACTTTAAAAGAGTTCTTCAGTATTATTTTGGGCAAGAAATAGCAGATACTTGCACTATAAGGGACATTGGTATTGGCTCAGTAGTTGCTACACTGTTTATACGAACCTCACTATCACAGTCTCTTATTGATGCTATCAATAACAAAACAAACTCAATGAGTAGATTAGGAATATTGGAAGTTGCTGTTGACAATAAAGTGATTCCTATCAGAAGAGAAGACAATAACAATTTTGACATTTCGCTCCAGCAATCAGTTAAAGCTGGTTATAGTTTTGAAGTATCAATGCTACTGCAGTTAGGAGCTGATCCTAACAGTAAAGATGAGAGAGGAAAGAGTGCAGTAGAGATAGCTAATGAAGGAGGACACACTCAAATAAAAGAAATACTACTAACTGCTGGAGGTGAGTTATTTTGATACTAATATTAATACACACACATATTATACCATTAATACAGTAAACCCTCTATTAACAAACACTCTCTATAGTGCACACCTCCTAATGGACAGCACCTAGTGTACCAATTACATTCCTTACTGTATAAAATAACCTCCACATAAAGGACACCTCTGTATAACAGAGACACTTTCACGTCCCATTGTATAGAACTTGAGTACCAGTGATTGAGTTTGACAATAAAACTTTATAAAAAAGATTCACAAAAACACAATAAAAATTACCAAAAATCATAGTCAGTATAATTGTAAGTTATCATATAGAATCTTCTGCTCTAAAAAAAGAGAAAGAATAAAAAGAGACAAAATATAATTTAAAATGCAAGAATTCAGAACAGATAATGACAAGATACAAGTATATATGGTATATGCTTACATTAGCTTGTGCTTTGAAGTTGACTAGCTGGCATATGGACCAAGGACTATAAAAAGAGAGGGAGAGGGAGAAAAAATGAGTATGAGAGAAAAAGGGAGGGACAATAATTATTGATTTCAATACATTAATAAAACGTACAATTGATTTTTGTTTACTAGCTGTCACATGATAAAAGATAGACCACACCCATTCCATCCTAGCAGCTGTAAGGACTTACTGGTACAAAAACCAGCATCACCTGGAACAACACACAAACATCATTAATAAAATAATAATAATATTATCATTTTATCTATTATACTGTATTAAAATAATAATATACACACATTAACTGACTGACTAATTTACATTATTTACCTATTATATACTGTATTTGCTCAAATAAACGCCCTGCTCAAATAAATGCCCATGACAAATATTTTCTAACTATATGCATATTTTACCCAGTAAATGTGCCCTAGGATTTAGATTGTCCGAGATAGCCTAGCTGTTGGAGTACAGTTTGGAACATTAGAAGGTCGTGTGTTCAAATCTACTATGGGCTTTTTTTGTTTTTTTTTACTTGATTTTTTTTCCTGTTAAGAAATAAACACCCAGGCGTTTAATCGAGCAAATACGGTACACACATTAACTGACTGACTGTGTTTACTATTAGGAGAAGAGACTGGAGAGGTGGAATGGATCAGTGGTAGTGTATCCCTCACTAAACCATCAGCAGGTCAATGTCAGGAAGTGATCAGTCAGTTAACGGACAATCATCAGGAAATTAACCTCCATCACTCATCACCTGATATTGTATACTTATTGATGTCATTAGCACTAGACATAAGAACAATAAAGAGGATTAGTATACACAACACTAAAATAAAAAAAGATGTCATCCTCTTACTGTCACACAAAATAACAAACAATACTTCATTAGAGGAACTATGGATTAGTGATAATTCCATCAATGATGATGGAGTCATTGCACTAACACAATCATTAATTAATAATAAAACAATTATTACCTTATATCTTTGTAACAATCCTGACATCACTTCAACCAGTGCTCAGTCACTAGCTGAACTTTTACTCTACAACCGCACAATGTCAGTCCTTTATCTTAACGGTACTAACATTGATACTGATGGAGTACTGGTACTGATGGAATCTCTCAGGACCAATGATACACTAAGGAGACTAGTTCTAGAAGACAATAAACATAAACAAACTTGTTATTCTTTACCTTATTATAAAACTATTGAAAACAGAATAGCTTTTGTGTAATTATTACATATATACATACATTGTATTAGTTAATTAAAAAGTAATTTATATTATTAAATGGTTTAAATGTTTGTGCGTGCGCACGTGCATGCTGCCTAGTGATGGGCGAATCCAGAAATTAGCAATCGATTCCGATTCCAAATACTTTTGGGACTGGAATCGAATACCGATTCCGAGTACTGACATATGCGCATGCGCAGAACCACGTGTTAATTTAATTTAATTTAATGGACCTTATTCAATGAAATTTTTCTAATTAACGCGCACCTGAGTTGGTGGTAAAATGGCGGATTTTTGTAGGAAAGACAGGCTGAGCAATCTTCTCTTTTTATCCAGCCATTCTAGCTGTGAGAACCACTTTGAGCTGTCCTTTTGTTTCAGTATACTCTATTTATTTCTTCTGTAAGCTCATTGGTTGCTGTTCTGGCTTTTATAGCATTTTATCATAGGAATATTCTTACTCATTGGCAATTCCCGTTTTTCTAAATTTTGCTTTCAGGAGCCAGGGCGCTTGCCCCTCCATTGCTATGAAGACAGAAGTGTATTCAGCTGAGTCCTATGACTAGTGTCTATCATCAGACTTAGTCTCAGTCCATCAGAACCAGGTACGGTGGAATAATTCACTCAG